GGTGAGCACCCCAACCAATATAAATACAGGACATACCCTTTTCTGCTCCATTCAGCAGTAGATGATGATTACCCAATTTTCCTACACCATCAGTTGCTACCAGAGCGAACAGCATGCCCTGCCATCGTTCCCAATATCCAGTCATTATGTGGTGATTGTTATTGCTTAATAGTTTATATTAGGGCAGCAATTAGCACTTTCAGAGCTTGATGCCTCCAGTCCAAACAGAGAAGATGATTTCTGTCCCAGATTTCTCGCATATTAAGTGTAAGACAAGAGACAACAGATAAATCCAGCAGGATTCCCAGATACTGGGCAAATTATTATTGATGCAATGAGTCACAGCAGTGCCTTATTATAATTTCTGCAGGCTCTGTCTTTCTGGCTGCAGAAGACAGAAACCCCTCTTGTTTGATTTTGTTTCATTTGGAGTGTAACATGTTCCCTCTCCATCAGATCTACACAATCTCAACTTCTTATTCAAGACTGGTGAATGTAGCAATGCATCCCTTCCCAAAAGGGAGATACATTTCCCTAGAGCAGCAAAATTAGTGCTTTTTCAGCACAATGCCGGCTACCTAACTTCCACTCAGAAGTGTTTGGGTGGGTATAAAGAAGACACATCCCTGGACAGTGATGTGCTCCACTCAGCTGAACCCATACTTTTTCAGTAGTTTCAGATGTCTCCATTCTACTGTCATCGAAGTTCTTTAGACTTGGACAACACTGCTAGCTCACAGTCCTGCAGAGGTCCCTAGGGATAAGCTGCCAAAGAACATCTTACTGCATTTATGTAATGGTGTGTACATTTGCTTGACTTGATATCACATAATCCATCAAAATCTTCATGAGTAGGAAAGGTTGAATCAGCCTTACTAATAGAAATCCCATCCCTGCTGTTTTTCACCTGATAGATCACTCACTTCACTGCTGAGGAGTTCATACTCCTCTGCTTTACCAAGCACTTGGTAAAATTGCTCTTCCTGGGAAAATAAAAGTTTAAAAACAGTGCTTAGAAAGAGAGGGCATTCAGTCAAGAACTGCAGTTGCTGCTTTCTTTTGGGTTGCTGGTTATATCACACCTCCTCCTTTGGTATAGGAGGTAGGAACAAGTGTCAGAAGACATTTGGGAGAGCAATCAAAAGTGTGTGAAACTCATCATCATTAAAACACATCTTATCAGGGAGGAGACAGTTTATTTGTTTCCACTTTTGCAAAATAAAAAGGTAAAACATGGAAGTACTTTTTTCAAGATGGCCTAAGGTCAAAGCCAGATCTGGACCCTCTGGAGCAGTGAGCCTCTGAAGCAAATGCTTCTCACCATCAGGACAGGGCTGCAGAGGCGGTCTGCAGGATCTCCATCACTGAGCCTGTTAAGGACCACTCAGATGAACATCTGTCAGGAGAGGCTGAGCATCAGCAGCCTTGCTTTGGAGCTGGGAGCTGGAACAGATCACCTCAGTTCCGTGGTAGTGACACTCCAGAGAGCAAACCTCTGCTTGCAGTTGGGATAATTCAATTTGTATTGCTTCCCTAAATTCCTATGGCTGCTTCAGCTGTTCTTACTTCATCCCTAGCCTTGCTTGCAATGCTTGCTGTAATTAACTGGCTGCTAATAAGGTATTTTGTCAGAAGGAGTGAGAAAAGCTGAGATGGTAAAAGCTGTCTGAGCAGAAACTGTTACTGAAAGAGTCAAATACCCAGTGCTGACACTCGGACACACACACATAGGAAGTATTTGAATTGTGATAACTTTGGCAGAAGCTCAGCACAGAGGTCAGGTCAGGAAAGTGGCTTAAATCCTTTCCTGTTCTGGGTTTGTAGAGGCTCCCCTGCAGCTCCAGGTCAGAGTGATTTGTGCTGTCCTTGCAGGATTGCCCTGCTCAGCATCCCAGTGCACGCTTGTGCCCAGGCACTGTCCCACCAGGAGGTCACTGCACACTTCCAGCCCTGGAAGCATCCAGAGAGCCTCTCGGGCAGCACTTGGCTGTCCCTGCATGACCTGCCTGAGAGCCCTGCCATTCTGCAGCCAAGGTTTACCCATTCTCCAGCCCTTTGATCCCACAGAGGAGGAGGGGTGGACATCTCACCCCTGGGTTTTATCCCCAGCTGTGCCGTTGACTGGCCAGGCCACAAAAGAGGTTCCCATCAGAAGGCCCATCTGTCATTTAAACAAAAATGGTACAGATTGCTTATACGAACCTCCAGTTACCAGATCAACCTGTTCAGTCCCTTTTCCCCATCCTTGCCACCTTTCCTCACCATCATTCCCCATCTCTCCTGTTTCCACTGGCACCCTTCTCGTGCCCCACAGGTGGCAGAGCTTCTGGGCCAGCCTGGCCTATGGGGGGCCTTGAGGAGCAACTGTGATGCAAATCATGTTTTTTCTCCCTTCTCTCTCCCTCATTCCCTTTGTTCATGGGGAGGCTGGCGATGACGCCATGGTGTGGGGACATTCCCACTAAGAACCAAAGCATCTGTGAGGACCACTGCTCAGAGAGGAAGAATATTTCACCCACACGAGCATGTTTACAAATGTGGAGTGTGAATTGAAAGAGAAGGAAAACAGCAGACTTTGAGTGGTTGGGTTCGTTTCACTATTCAATACTGGGAAGTTGTACCTCTCTGTGTCAGGTTCCCTGCAGCTCCACACCTTATTACACAGGATCACATTTGGAGGGCTAACTTGCTACTGCTTATTAACAGCTGGCTTTTCATGGCTGAAATCCTCTCTTTCCTGCCTTTCCTGGTGCTTCTTCACTATTCCCATCTACTTCTTGCCTAGCTTTCACGTGTCACCTGATCTTCCCCAGGAAACAACCCGTTTGTTTTCTGTGAAGTGCTGCCCAAGGAAGGAGGGCCGTACTTCTGCCCCCTTTGTTGTGTTGTAGCTGAGCCATTCATTGCGACTGAACAGAAGTTGGCCTTTTTTGAGAAGAATGATTTTTTTTGTGCATGACAACCTTTTTAATATATTGCGATTGTGTTCCTCAATGTAATTTTAAAGCCATTTAGGGTGGGTTTGCTGGCTGTTTTTCAGAAAAAAAAAAAAAAAAAAAAAAAAAAGCTATTCAGTGTTGGGAGGGTAGTTATATTTTCCACATTTGAAGTTCTTCAGTCTTCATCACAAGCTGTGATTTTTCTAGCTCAAAATTCTGAACAGTTGTAACTATTCAGAGAGTGTTTAGTATATTCCATGGATAACTAATATAACGAAGTGAAATCACTGTAAGGAATGCATTCAACAAAAATTGAATCAGTTCCTAGTTTTGTGAAATATCTCTCAACCATACCTGATTGCAATGTACCCAAAGTCTGCTTCCTAAATGGATACTCTTCCCCCTTTCCAGAATAAATAAATTAAATGAAATGAGGTCTGTGCCTTCTGTATTATTCACATTTTGCTAGTCTGATTTATTAAAATGTAAATCACTTAGATGAGGTTACTCAGATTAAATTACTACTTAGCAAATCTTCGGGGTAGTGACTGTTTCTTTGTTCTGGGTTTATGCAGCATAATGCTTTGAAGCCCCAAGCTCTCACCAACCAACGTTAGTATTATGAACCTGCTTCTCTACCTCACAAGTAAGCTGTGAGCACTCTGCTGTGTCATGACCTCGACGGTCTTTGCATGTGTGGAGGGCAGTGATGGCTGGGCTGTGCAGGAGCTTAGTCCTCTGGGATACACACACGACTTCCTTCTTGTCACTAATTTACAAAGAAACCACCTGCTGCCAAGCATAACCCTCATCCTGCTTCAGCCTGATCACCTAAAAATGTATTTCCATGGGAAGAAGGTTCATGCAAGGGTTTTTGTAAAGTGGGAAACAGAACGGCCCTTTAACTGGACCCTCATGCCTGAGTTATCAACTGTCACACAGCTCCGAAGACTTCAAAGTGTGCCCAACCCTTTTCCTACACTCCCTGCCATGTCTTATTTTTGACCTTTCCCTTGAGAAATGGGTCCACTAGTGAAGAGAAGATAATTCAGCTCATTTGGTCTCTTGAGACTCCCACTAAGGGAAAGAATAACAATTCAGCAGCAGCTTTACTGATCTGCATAGAAAATTCAGGCTCTTTTTTGCTGACCCTACTAGCTTGCCACATACAGCTGTAAAACTTTATGCTGGTAATCCAGAAAGGCAGCTGGAATTTTCAGTCATAGGCCATCATATGTCATGTTCATACCACATTGGATTAAATGATAATAGCAGAATAATTCTTTTAATACAATATTTAAGACATACTGAAATAGAAGCTTTTGTGAAGCAGATACTGAATATTCAAACTGTTTTTTTTTTTGTGTGTGTGTGTGTTTTGTTTGTTTGTTTGTTTGTTTGTTTTTTAGAAAAGATCACTGTTAGTAGTTCAGGAGGTCTGTCCCAGTAGCATTGCACACATGCTCATGGCCTCAGCTCCTAGTGAACGACCACCAGGTCACTCATTTGGAAACCGAGCATACTGAACATCTGCTGCTTCATGATGCCCCTGCTGTGGCACATCACCCACCTAGCTGCACAGCCTGTGCAAAAAAGTAAAGTCATTACATGATCATGGACTGAAAAGGACCATTTAGATTACTGTGCCCAGCCCCCTGTTAGTGCATTTGACTGTTCAATAGATGTTCAGCCACAAAAGAGCCGAGAAAGCTTGCCAACTCCCTGTAACAACAGGCAGGTCTGTAGCAAAAGACCCAACACACTGTCACATGTTGCAGAGACAGCTGGGGGTCAAGGGCTTCACTGCTGATTTGAGTTTTCATTAGCATTCATGCTCTTAGTTAATTATCAGATGATCCTAACAATGTAGCCTGTCCAGGCTCTAGGTGAGCCTTATATCTGATGCTTCAGATGGGAGCCAAAAAAAAAATCACAGAGTTCAAGCCTGTGGGAAGAAGGGAAATAAAAAGATCCCTATTTCTTTGCCTAAAAGTCCCAGAAAAGCTTGAGGCATGAGATTATATGATTGAGATACAAATGAACACAATGAACAAGCCTTACCTCCTTCTTCTGGAGACAAACAACAAAAGGGTTCATCACAGGCTTAAACTCCTGATATCAGGACCTCATCCTTAGCCTGGTCCCCTTCACAGAGCTGCAGATTTCTATTTTACATCTGATCAGCATCTCTGCCTCTCCTGGTCCCTCTAGTATTCAGCTCATCTCTGTTCCTCAGTTTGAAAGTATACTCTGTAGTGTTTGAGTCAGCTTTGCATTTTGTTTATTATAATCTCAAACAGAAGTAATTCTGCTAGGTGTATGAACATCATAGAGTGTCAGTCCTGTTTACTCAGTTCAAGAGAGAAAGGAGGACCTTTCTTCATTTATTTATTTTTTTTCAAAACGTGCTGTTCCTGAGTGGGAGCGTGCACTTTGCTGGTTACAGTGCATGGAAATAGACTGTCACCTGTTTTATTTAGTGATCTGCTTCTATAAATGTAGACATATTCACATTGGAGGATCCCAGAAGTGGCTTAGCTGGTAAGAGGTAGCCTGTATCCACAAGCACGCATGTTAAACACTGTCCAGCTGCTGTATTCCCACCCACGCTGAGCACAGTAGGATGCAAGGCTCAGAGGCACCCCTCTCCCTGCCTTGGAAGCAGAGCACACGATGCAAGCTGGTTTCTGACCCAAGAGACCTGCATTCCCTAACCAGGGGAATATCTTCCCTGCACGCACACACAGCCTGAAAAAGAGCCACATTCACTGCCCATAAACATCAGCATTTTGATTCACATGTTCCGCTCTGATTGCAAGGAAGAGATGAGCATATACAAAGGTATAAAAATATTTCCTCCTCTTGGATATTCTTATTACATTTTATAGGTCTAAATCAAAATTGGACTTTTAATAAACTCTAGCCCAGTGTAACTGGCTTGGATTCTTGTAACATGCTGTGTCTTTAGAAAAGTTATAACAATCTGCTGAGGAATTTTTAAAAAATATTTTTTCATAAAGCTGTGCATGATACAAAAGTAAATTTGAGCTGGTTCCTTGGTGGCTGTTATTAAGGGATGTAAGATTCCAGCATTTATGTAATAACTCACAGCTGCCGAGAAGCTATTTTAGTCAGTGCATACAATAAGTTTACAGTTACTGTCTCCAAATACCTGTGGTCTAGCCACTTACTTCAGCCTGCTGATTATTTAGCTGAAATAATCCTGTTCAGTGCTCATCCTTCGGCCTGACAAGAACTGAGTGTGGAGCCATTTGAAGAAACCCACCCCAGGCTCTGTTTTTGGAAGCCTTTAGAGCCCGTGGCTGGTGCTCCCCATCGCCTTGCCCCTCAGGTCTGGGGTGTCCCAGGGGAGGGAGGCTGTCACGCCATGTTGAGGCCAAGAGGGAGCTGGCATGAGGGACCTGTCACCCACCACCCTGCCCTTGCTAGCTGGGGAGAAAGGGGTCCAAAGGGTTCCCATGGGGGGGGCCAACATCCTGCAGCTCACCCACCCAGCACTAGTGGGAGGAAAGGTAGGAGGCAGGGATGTAGGTAGCAGAATTAAAAAAAAAAATAAATACAATTTACTAATTTATTTATGGGCTGCACATAATCATTATTTCCATCTTTTTTCTCTCCCACTGACTTAGGAGAAATTGCAAATCCTGATGCAAGTGCAACCTGGCTCTGGCTGTTTGATTATTTAATGACTTTTTTTTTTTTTTTGGTCAGAAAAGCCTTTTTATTCAATCTGATTGTTTCTCCTAAAATTGCTTCATGTCTTTAATATCTAAGCTAGTCCAGTTCTTGAGACAGAGAATGTCTTTCTCGATGCTACCTAACGAGCCCCACAGATTAATTTATATGCTTATTGCTCCCAATTACTATTATTTCTGATTTTGTTGTGAGAATATTCACTGTTCACTCAGTCTAGGGTTTCACTAAGGCTTTTTTTTTGATCCAATTCTTTTAATGAGCATTGGAACCAGTCTAGGAAAACACGATAGAAGGTAAATCCCTTTTAAACAAAATAATAATAATAAAGCTGAGTTGTCTGCTGCCTCTGCTGGGGTGAGGAGGGTTGTAATGCTTTTGTGTACGAATTGCTTTGGGATAATAATGTTTTCTACTTGCTTATACATTTTTCATCAGACAAATCAGGCAAGAAGGTTCTATCATACAGATCTATGACTGTAGCTGCTTTCCTGTCCTGTAGCTGCAAGGGGAAGATGAGACACATTTTCTTACTTGGAGAAAAAGGGTCAGAGTTGGAGGGGAAAAACGGTATGAAAGTGCAAAGCCTTGGATATAAGTAGGTAGCCCCTAAAGCAGGTGCTAACAAGACCTTCTTGACAACCATTGAGTTTTGTGTGTAGCAGAGGAAAAGTTACAGCTGAAAGAAAAGAAACAGGCAAGGAATAGTATTGTGCTGTAGCTGAGTGGGATTATAGTAGCTGAATGAGTCATTGTTATAAAATATGGGCAATAGAGCATCCTTTCATGTCTCTCAATGCAGATTGAATGCAGTCCTGACCAAGATGACAAAAATCATTTTGATTGAATCCTCATCCATATTTTTAAATGAAACGCATGTGGGGCTATTAGCTCAGCTCCCCGTCAGAGGCGGCTGCACCGCAGCCCTGCCATATGTTTGGCAGTGTTTGAAGCACCTGGCATCCTCCACAACAGACAGGCACATCTGAATGGGGAGAAATATTAAACCATCTCGCAGTTTCCTCTTCCAACTCCAGGGTAGGTGTTTTTTAATATATATATATATATAAAAAAAAATACATAACTGAATATGAAAGGTTAAGCAAAAAATTTATGTACATGAAGTGCTTTATAAAAACCGAAGGCGAGAGGAGGACATGGCTGGCAGAGATCCTGGGCTCCTCCCGTGTCAGAGGAGGACAGGATGGGCAGGGACGCAGGCTTCTTTGTCTGAAGTCGACACTAGGTTTCAGGATCCAAAAATACAAATAATAGTTTCTGCTTTTATTACTGATTTATCACAGTATTATTAAAGTTAATGTACAATTTCTCGGCCTGGAACAGCCACTCCCACAAGTCCCATCCTTATCACATTTCCCTCTTATTAATATCATTAAGAAAGAGCTATGCTTAGCTGCATGCTGAGAAGGTCAGTCATGTCCTTTGGCTGAAAAAACGAGCACATTACTTACACGACTCTAGTAAAGGATGTTCAAATCTTTAGTGACCCATGGGTCTGGGTTTCAACCAGTCAGAATACTTCATGTCCATGTGATCCCCATAAGCCATTTTTTTTTAAGGTTTACCAAGGATTTAGGGTATGTTTTGTGGTTAAAGAAAGAGCTATTGACATGATTACAACTGTTGGAGTGGTCTTGATTTACCTCCACCACTGACAGGTGAATTCAGTCTGGCATAAGTGAAAGCAAGGACTAGGACAATAACCAGAGAATGGGAAACCCATCACATAACAGAAGTTAAAAGGATTTTGCTAGTTTCATGTAGTGAAAGAGAGTCTCGTTGAAGATACCGTTTATTTCTCTAAGTATGTCTGCAGGAGGAAAAGGTCCTTTCTTCTGAAGGGCAATGTGGGCACAAGGACAAGTGGATATAAAATGGATGTGAATGCATTCATGTTGGAGAATACAAAAAGTGCTAACAATGAAACAAGTGAGAGTCTCAGCTGGACTTCTGGGAACTTACTGGGGTCTATAACCTCAGTCTTAAGTTGTTTTTGTTAACTGTATTTTTAAAGTGAGATGACGTGGTTATCTACAATTGCAACTAAATGATCTTGGAAAAAAAAAGAAAAAAAGAACTTTTTCTAATCATTTTACCAATGCTCATAATACCTAAAATGTCTTCCAAAATAGATCAGTGAGGAGTACTGAGGATTTTACAACACACTTCCCAGCTATAAATATTGCAGCATTACTTTTTTTCTTTTGGGTGCAGTAAGATTGGAAATGAGTCCAGTGCTCCTGTTGTTTCACTGATTGTGAGGATCGCTTTCAGATCCCACTGGTATCATTCTTCTGCCTACAGCTGCTTCCACAAACTTCCCAGTGGGTGGACTCCCTCTAAGAAATACTTGTGCTTCTGCCAGGATGTGTCTTCTTTTCCAGAACTCCACCTTTTAAAGAAATTCCAAGTAGTGTGTAACAACAATACAGAAAAGATGCTCTCACTGGAACACAGTATTTTCTGTTAGTGTTTTATTAGCTACTGTAGAAAACCAGCTTTGTAAGAGGATGGTTGTTGTTTATTTTTAGAGATCATTATTATGAACATGCTGTGTTTTTTTTATGATGTTCATCCCTACTTATCTGTCTTATAAAATAGTGAAGTGTGCAAAAGAGCAAAAAACGCAGCCAATTTTTCTACCACATTTTTCTACTTGAAAACTTAAAATAGGCAAAGTATAATAAACCAAGGAAAAATCTGCTAAAATGGATGCATTCCAAATGATCGCAACTGTACTGACAATTTTTGTATCACACATTGCCCACCTTGTTCACCATGCCTCTCACTGCAGAGGCTGCCGGAGGTCTGAAAAGCAAGTTCATAAAAATGTAGTGGTAACTGCACACTCACTTACTAGCACTGAGCATTACAAGTACTCCATAAAAATGAAAACAAAACAGGGATGTGGCTATGTCAAACATATGCACCTGTAAATATTAATGTCTCATTCATTAGAAGTGAGCTGGGAACTTCAACCTCCATGCAATTATGCAGCTGACTTAAAAAATAAAATAAAATAAAATAATATAAAATAAAATAAAATAAAATAAAATAAAATAAAATAAAATAAAATAAAATAAAATAAAATAAAATAAAATAAAGGACTGTTTCACTGTTCCACCAACAGACACCAACCAAGGTCATTTTCTGCATTACTTAGTACTAATTTCCACAGAGATGTATGGGATATATGGCATTTCACAAGCCTCTAAGTGTTTAAAAAATAAAATGAGGTAGTATTTTCACCCATAGATATTATTTTGCTTCATGTTTAGAAATTGTAGTAACAGAAGCCTCATGCTGTTATTTTATTGTCCTTGTGGTACCGGGGAAGAAATGTATCATTTGAAACAAACCAAAATGAAACCAGCATGAAGGAGGAATTGCAGAGGCTGGTAGACTGTAATTAGGGCTACCAGTTTTGTTGAGATTCAGGGAAAACGAATGCATGCCACAGTGCCCCCTTGGCTCTGTGTAGGCCCCAATATTTAGCTGTACAGGCACTGAATTTTCTATATACTCCATATCTTACCTAGATGAACCAATCACTATATCATATTGTATTATACACGCATGACAGATCTTGGTTGCCAACTCCATAGCTGTGCTATGAGTTCAGTATTGCATCACAATGCAGACCTTTTCTCATAGTAAAATAAATACCTTTAATTGAATATTTTCACCATTATTTTTGGAACGAGTAGCTTTAAAGGGATTCAGAGGAGGTTTAGAAATACTTGTACAACCTTAATATAGTTTATGGGTTTCTTTCTTTCTGCTTACATTCCTTTAAAGGATTGGAAAGAGAAGTTCTTCATTGTTTTGAATAAAGCAATTTATATCAATTTAATGTTTGGTTGCAGGAAAACATCCTGAACAGAGTGTTTATAGTTCATCAATCCAACTGTGGTATATCTAGCATATGGCATTTGTTTTCTCTCTCTCTTTATATATATATGTGTATACATGTATTATATGCACTTATAGGTGTATTCATGTATGTGCATATCCATGTACATGCACAAATAGTTGTAGGTTACATAGACAGCAACAATTTATCTCCATCATTAGGAAAACGTGGAGGGCGGGATTCATCTCACCTATATTTACCTGTCAGAAAGCTATCATCTATTCTAAGTCAGTCATGTAGATCCCCTCTAAAGCCCGTAGAGAGATACAGCCAGTTCCAGGGGCTTGTCTGTTGCATTCATCTGTATTAGAATAAGAGATACCCATCTCTCACCATTGCCTGCAGAGAAAGCCTACATGACTAACTCAGAGCAAACATATAGCTTTCAGAAAGCTAAAGTCAGGGACAGAAAACCCAAGCCAACAGCATTTCAGAAAACAACAACAAAACCTATTTTGTGAAGCTGATTGGTCTAGACTCCTGCACTTCTGGTTCCTACTCTTCTTTTTTTTTTTATGGTGGTGCCTACCACCAAGTTAGAAAAGATCTTTTCCACTTCAAATCAGAAGGATTTATTTATTTATTTATTTAATGGTTATGGCAATGATTAAAGTGAAGAGGAAATTGTTCATGTTGTCAATTCATCTTTTATTTTGTTTTTTAATTTTCTCCTTAAAAATGTCTTTGAAGCAGATAATTGTATAAATGTGACTTGATCACTGAAATCACTGGGTGGACTTTCAAATCATGAGGAAAGGAAAAGGGAGGAGAAGAATTCATGAGATCTACAGTAAAGAGAATTATTAATCTGCAGAAATATGTGCCTCTGTTACTACTGGCTCTGTGAAAAACTGATTTCACATGTTATAATGTGCCTTCTAAAACTGAAAAAATAGGAATGGGTGTGGAAACCTACATTTGTACAGTGTATGAACACTTTGATCTCCTAAGAAGGCAGATGTAGAATAAAATGTAAATTAGATTTGGAAAAAATGCAAACCCATGAGAGAAACAAAATTAAAGACCAAAAATCATGTCTCCTGGTTTAATGGTGAGACTTGGCAATAACATCTTTGGGCGCTTCTAAAAGGAAAACTCAGATGCTTGGCTCAATGTGCAGCACAGAAATTGCCTTGAATATAAATTTTATCTCTGTCTTTCCAGTACATTTTGAGAGCCAAATTCCAGCACTGACTGAGAGAATGTTAATATTTCTCTACAGTGACGGTTTGAATCAATAGTTCATCCTATAAGCAGGGAAAATCATTGTGACAAAGTTCTTTGCTTAAGTAAAACAAGTCAAAGTGAAGAACATGCTGTGTCTAATGCAGAGTTCCTGAGCTCCTGTAAAATAGCATGCATTGCTCTGCAAAATTTGGAGGACATGGTAAGTGCACTAAAAGCAGTGCTAACTGTGCTGTGACTCACAACAGCAGTTTTGGAGATAGTAGACTGGTAAAAAACTCATTACCAAGTTAGTAATGTTTTGCTGCTAAGACAAGAGGGTTTATGATCACAGTAATTTGAAAAGTTAATCTAGTTCAATGATCCACAGGCTGTGACCTTTGGCAACCATGCTGATGATCGGAAGAATGGAGCATCTGGACATCAGGAGGATAAGAAAGTTGGGAAGGAAGCTGGATCTGCAAGAAAAAGCAACAGAACCCCATCCTGTGAGGTCACTAAATATGCCTTTTGTTTATGCAGATGACCGATAAATTGGATGTTTTAACATCTAATTTTCCTAAGTTGCTGCTGGGTTAATGTGCTTCAGTTTCACAGAGGCCAACTTAGGAAATTCTATGCCAGTTTTCATAGATTCAAAGTGCTATTGGCTTCTAAATTAGATAAACAGAGCTTCCAAAAATTATGTCAACTATGTGTCAAGTTGGCATAAAAAACAAGAAACACCCTGTGTCAGTGTCATTTAAATAAACAAGTTAGCAACTAGTCCTAAAGACCATGGAGGGAGTAATTTATAAGGATGTGAGTTCCCAACTCCAGGATTCCAGTTCTCTGACCCAAACAACAGCACTCCCACACACTTGGGAATGTACATATGAAATAAGCATGGGAGTGCCAGAACTGGAAAGCTGTATCAAAAAGGCCAAAGACACAGGAAACTTCAGATTTGGATCTTGATCTGAGAGGCTTTAGCCTCTTTCTAAAATTAAGTGCAACTCCCTTGAGTTTTGGGGACAGTTCAGCATCATATTGTGGGGAAGTCAAGGCGGATAGAGAGAAATTAAATGGCAAAAGGCTCCCTGGATGACAAGAAGGGAAGTGCTGAAGTGAAGAAGATGCCTGTGAAGATTGGGATTTTTTTGGATGGAACCAGATGCAGGAGGGAACAAAGGAGAACTTGGAGAGAATTGGTACGGGATGAATAAAGTGGAAGGAACTTATGTCTCATGATGGCTCTCATATGCCATCAAAACTTAGCTCAGCTTAAATGATTAAGGCAGGTTTGGCTCAAATTTGCTCTGAATAAAAATATGGATAGTGAATCCTGCTTTTAATTTTGCAGAAACATGTCCCAAAGATTATTGAGATATCAGTCTCATTTTTTAACCAAGTGCCCTCTATTATAGCACAGACACTCCTCAGTTTCCCTGAAGAGATAGATTTCCTCTTTCGGTCTGTTTTCAATCTTATGAAAAAGTAGTTGTTCATATGAACAACCAAACTTCCAAACCTTTAAAGCTTTATCTATCACTGGTGTAACAGACTCTCAAAACAAAACACTCCATGGGAAACAATTATTGACATGCATTTCTCATTCAGTACACTGATTTCACTGAGTAAATAATAATGATGAGAAACTTCAAAACATTTGTGGAGCCCTAACACTTGTTTTATTTTTGTAAACTCTTTAATGTCTCTGTCATTTTTAGAAGCCATCATTTCAGTGAAAATTCATTATTAAAGGGTTTGACAACTTTCAGTAATGATCTTGGGATGAATGTAATTAATGAGCTAGAAAAATCTTTAGGTTATATTAAGGTTGAGGATTACTTGAGGAATATTGGAAAAAGAAGAAAGTCTTTCCCATCATTACTAAATATATCCCATGCAGTAATATGAAAGATGCAACATATTGTAAGAGAAACCATGAGATGAGGTACTATGGTTGCAGCTGTGGTTGTAACAGGGTTGCACACGCCCTCCAAAGATCCAAAAAAAAAAAAAAAAAAAAAAAAAGGGAGAAAGGAAGAAAAGACCAGACCATCCCAAATTCTTTTAAAGGTCAGATGTGGGTTCAGGTTTGCAGATGGAAGCCAAACCCAGAATATCATCATCAGAAGTCTCGGACTTTTCCATTTGCGATCTACATTTTACAACAGATCTCTTTCTCCATAAAGTGACTACAAGAAAACCTTGATCCAAATACCAAAAAGATAGAGAAGATCTAGATCCAGATCTGCAGTATGCATTTGCCTCATTTTGGATGGCCTGATGGGACAAAGCTTGCAAGTGCAGTTCACCTGATGATTTGGTGATGATTTGCTATGCATTCTTCTCCTTTCCCCCCTCCCCCCCATTCTCCCCCTTATTTTTTTCTTCATTCTTTTTTTATTTGTACTTTTTCTCCATCCAGGACTGTCTTGAAAGAATTAAATAATTAAATATGATGCTTGGTATGAAAACAGTATATCCCATCAGACTTCTTAAATTTTTTTCCATGATTTATGGTCAGAGAAAGACGTTCAGAAAAAAAAATCCTCATAACCCTTTCCTTCAGTTCTTTTGGAAGGCTTGTGATGGAAAAACTTGAAACTTGAGGGGGGGTGGGGGGAGAGGAAGAGAGAAGAAAAATTACAGGAAATTGTTTGCTTTAGAAAGAAAAAAGGATGAAATAATGTCTAAAAAGATGTTATTACTGATTTACTTTAATGCTGCATTTACTGCTTCATGTCAGCCCTTTCAACCACATTCAACAATGAATAGTGTTTCCAGTGAAATGATTAGGTATTTCCAGTGCATTTATTCTGTAACTAAACTTTACAATATCATGCAACTATAATTCCAATATATTCTGCACCAAATTTACTGTTAACATTTAATACTTCACTGCATTCATTACGTTTACTTGAAAGCATATATGGGGATGTCACATACATTTTCAAGCTTTTCATCTAGAAATATGATTTTTTTTTTTCTATATTAGAACTCTAGATACAATCTGTTTCAGACCTGTATAGATAACCTTTCCATTTTTTTTTTTTTCCATTTCATAGAGAAACTGTCAAGGAAAATTACTTTTTCCTTGAAAGATAGCAAAACTCTCTCTCCACTGGTGTCCTATTTCTCACTATTTAAAAAAAAAAAAAAAAAAAAAAGTATATTTATGTATATACTATACACATATAAAATTTATTGGTTTATTCCTCATCATTAAAGCCAAAAAGAAGCTACTGCATAAATTTCAATTGCTCCTCAAATTTTCCATTTTCCAAAAAATAATGAAGAAGATTTGTTTTTGGAAAATGACTTTTATTTTCTTTAAGTCTACATAGAATTGGTAGCAAAGCATTTGACACTGTCTGGCACAACATCCTTGTCTCTAAGTTGTAAAGACATAGATTCAACAGATGGACCAGTTGGTGGGTAAGGAATTTGCTGGAAGGTTGCACTCAAAGAATTGCAGTCAATGGCTTGAGAATAGCTTGAGAACAGCTCTGAGGAGAAGGCCCTGGGAGTGTTGGTGGATGAGAAGCTCAACATGAGCTGGCAATGTGTGCTTGCAGCCCATAAAGTCAACTGTATCCTGGGCTGCATCAAAAGCAGCGTGGCCAGCAGGGTAGGGGGGCGGATTCTCTCTCTACTCTGCTCTCAGGAGATCCCACTTAGAGTACTGCCCCTCGTCTCTGGGGCCCCCAACATGGACCTGTTAGAGGAAGTCCAGTGGAGGGCCACAAAGATGATCAAAGGGCTGGGGAACCTCTCCTGTGAAGACAGGCTGAGGGCTCCAGTGTTCAGCCTGGAGAAGAGAAGGCTCTGGGGAGACCTTATAGTGGCTTGCCAGTACATAAAAGGGGCCTACAAGAAAGCTGAGGAGTGAGTCTGTGTCAGGGAGTGTAGGGATAGCACACAGGGTAATGGTTTTTAAACAAAAAAAAAAAGGGTAGATGTAGATTAGTTATTAGGAAGAAATCCTTGACTGGTGGTGAGGTGGTAAGGCACTGGCACAGGCTGCCCAGAGAAGCTGTGGATGCCCCATCCCTGGAGGTGTTCAAGGCCAGGCTGGATGGGGCTTTGGGCAACCTGGTCTGGTGGGAGGTGTCCCTGCCCATGGCGGGGAGGGGGGTGGAAATGGGTGCTCTTTAAGGTCCCTTCCAATCTAACCTGTTCTATGATTCTATGATTATATCCTTAGCATGCATAAAAACTTCAAGTAGTGTTCAGGGCCTAATTTAGAAATTTAACTGCTCATCTTTTAAACTTTAGGAGTCTTGTAGCTCTGTTCAAGTGCCACATCATTTCCAGTTCTTTTCACCAGTACTCAGGCAACTGATACCAGTCATTTGCTTTCTGTCATTAGACATCCACTTGACAGCTCACAATTTCCCACTTAGTCAAATCGCACTGTTTTGTAAGCAGTGAAGAAACTGCTTTGCCAGTTTCAAAATCCTAAAGCTAAGCAAGTTTATATATTGATAGCCTTTAAATATGTATCCTATTCACAGGCCATTCATTCTTTTTAGGTTTATTCCTAGAGGAGATCCTGCATTATATATAAGCAAAGCTTGAGCTATATAACCTTTTCCAAGATCAGCTTTCACAGTTCCGTCTGGGTGTTTTCTCCATGGCTACTACATCCTCAGATTCACAAGCAATTGGTAGTCTTTCATGACAATATTCATGATTCCTATATTAAACTGTCTGTTGATTGTCACAATGCATATTTCTTATTTAGATTTATCTGATCAAATTATGCAGATGGAAACTGCAGGGTATTTAAGCATATTCACAGGAACACAAGGAAGGATTTGTATTGTTTCTGGAACGTTTCTCATCTGCATTCTTCAGTCCATTATATGTTTTGCTTAATGGTAAAGTGACAGTCCCTGAACCAAGTTTTTAAAATGCATGTCTATCTGTCACTTCCAATACGTCTCACAGCAGCATGCATTAACTTATCATGCTTGAAAGTACAAAAAGATTATGCTGCGGTGAAATGTTAACAAGGTCATATCATATACACACTAGCTCGTTGCACTTTTCTTCCTTTCATTGCTCCTGTTAGGCATTATTCCATGTCATGCATAAATAATGTTGCTCTAGAGAGAAAGCCAGTGTACTTTATATTACTGGTACTGCTATACTGTTGAGACAGGCTGAACTTCTGGAGTGAATGTCAGTACATGTCACTTGCTAAATTATTGGTACCTAGCCATCAAAGACAAGTACAGCAGATGAATACGTGTATTCATGAATATAAGATTACTTTCTGCTTTGGATCACCACTGCAGCAACCATATTGAGATAGTTTTCATATAAATGGGTTTTGGCAAATCACTGTCTGGCATCGTGCATCTGATTTTACTGAGCTTTTGTGAAGTCTGTCAGACTGTACTGGATGAAGCATCTGAAGGCTCAGAAGAGCAGCACAAGAGGACAGTTTATGCACCAAGGAAATATTTCACAAGCATAAAGTCTCAGCTACCGAAAATCCTGACAGAAAGCCAAAGATAAATAATTTTCCCTTGATACAACTCTGCAGCGTCGCAGCAAGTATGCCAGTACATCTGCTGCAAGACCTCAGCTCCTCCCTACACTCCTGTGCTCCCAGACATTGCCAGCACCCGGCTGGACCTCCAGGGAGTCACAGCTTGGGGATTTTCAGCCGGCATGACTGGGTCTTTCTGCCCTGAACCCAAGAGCTGTCTGTGTGGGCTGGCTAGGCCTGCTGCCTGCTTCCCACCCCTTTTTATTCCCTCCAGATGGAAAACTGTGATTTTTGGGTTAGATATTCCTGGCAGGTGTTGTGGTAAGAGGCCTGCTTCAGTCTTTGTCCCCCAAGATAAATTACCACCCACGTGCTAATTTCAGATTTAATTTTAAATATATCTAATATGATCCATGAGCATGTGCTTGAAGGTCTGTTACAGAATTTCTTTACTGGTATATTCTTTCACATCTACATATAGTTAGCAATAAATCTCACTTTGTCCAAGCCTAGATCAAGCCAAAGAAAATCTTTCTATGGAAATACTTTATTTTAATGTGTAACAAACAGCAACAATTGTTAATTACAAATGTCAATAGAGGTCTGTGTGGGGTAAAGGGAAGAGTTCAATTTTGTTATTAGTGGAGAACAAAAGCATTATTATGGGTGATCTCACAGATGCTGCTTCGTTATTTCAGCTTTAATGGATGTTTTGTAGACAGCAATTTCAGTTTACTCAATAATTCTGAGAAAGAGGAGAGGAAATCAAATGCAAAAGTCAGCTTCAAACTAACAAGAGGATTAATCTGATTAAGGTAAAAAGTTGCGGGTCATGCAGCTTCCCAATTACAAACACAGCTGCACCCAGTCCTACAGCCCCTGAGCTTTCTGTTATCATTCTCCAGAAATCTCTTCTGTTACAGGCAAGAAAAATTAAAAGTTGACTTCCTGAAATAGAAATGAGTCAATCTGGTGATGTAACTCACACAGCATTTGGTGGTCTTCATAATGAACTTTGACTCTATGCTCCTAACAACACAGGGCTTTAATAAATCTGCAAGATACTGCTATCAATAGCTGATATTAATAGTGACTAGGTCTGGCTCTTGGAAGACTGAAACTCTTGGGTTAGAAAAGACTGGAATAGGTAGCAACTCCTCTGGGTGAGGCTGCATCCCATGGGATTTGATTTCTTCCCTGAGACCATAAGGCAAAGGTGTTTAAAACTCAGGATTTCTATTTCATTCCAAATCCATAGAGGTCAATAGAGGTTTTTCTCCTACATAGTAGGAAAAGTAGAAAATCTTGATGTAAAAGTCATTCTGAAAAATGCCACTCTTTTGCGTAAAAGTGAGTAGTTCTGTGTTTTTCTGAAATAAAACAGAGAAACAATTGCCTAGATCTCTATGGGAGCAGGGGTAAGACAGGCAGTGAGCAATGAAGCAGGTTTGTCAGTATTCAAAGACCCCCAGCCCAGGATGAGCTGACAGTTATCCCATAAAGATGAGAGTTCAGAGAAGTGTCTGCACATTTCCAACTC